GTGAGCCACCGCGCCCAACTGAAACTTATTTTAGAGATGAAATTGGGGTTCAGAGATTCACTGAGACTTGCTGAGTTGCATAGTGACAGAGCTAAGTCTAGCTGCCTCTTTGAGGATCAATTCCATGCTCTCCAAGGTCTCTCTGTTGGGGTTCAGCTAATGATACCCCAAGTATGCTGAGTACTTTGAACTGCAGGTCGCTGGAAGGGCCTCAGAAGTAGAAACTTTCTCCTGCTTTCTGCCTTCCACCTCCCCTCCTCCCCCAAGACAGGTCAGAAAAACTAGAATTCACAGCGGGCGTGATGGCTCATGCCTTGATTCTAGCACTTGGGGAGACTAGACGGAAGGGTCCTTTGAGGCTAGGAGTTTGAGACCAGCCTGTCCAACATAGTGAGACCCTGTCTCTACAAAAAATAAAATTAGCTAGGTGTGGTTGTGCACAACTATAGTCCTAGCTATTACAGAGGTTGAGGCAGGAGGGTCCCTTCAGCCCAGGAGTGTGAGGCTGCATGAGCTGCGACTGCTCCACTGCACTCCAGACTGTGCAACAGTGAGACCCTGATTTTTTTTTTTTTTTTTTGAGTTAGAGTCTCACCCCGTCACCCAGGCTGGAGTGCAGTGGGACACTCACAGCCATCCCAGCATCGACCTGCTGGGCTCAGGTCCTCCTTCCGCCTCAGCCTTCAAAGTAGCCAGAACTACAGGTGCATGCTACCATGCCCGGCTAATTTTTCGATTTATTGTAGAGATTAGGTCTCACCAAGTTGCCCAGGCTATTCTCAAACTTGTGGGCTCAGGCAATACCCCCACCTCAGCCTCCCAAAGTGCTGGGATTAAAGGCTTGAGCCACTGCTCCCAGCCTTTTTAAAAAATTTTAAATATGTGGGATACACTTCAGGGTTAGGTATACCAATGTTCATTATGCAGGTACCCTTGTTGATGTGTGCCCCACCTCCCCTGGCAGTTTCCCACTACTGCCAATCCTTTTCTTACAGTATTGCGATAGTTGTTCAAGGTCTACTTATGAGTGAGAACATGTGATACTCGGTTCTTTGTTTCTGTGATAGATCACTCAGTATTATATATATATATATATATATA